GGAAGGAAGGAAGGAAGGAAGGAAGGAAGGAAGGAAGGAAGGAAGGAAGGAAGGACCTGGATTTCACTGGGATTCAAAGGAAAAGAAAGTTTCATCCTTCCAGCAGTGAATCTCTTTAAAAAAAAGAAGAGGGGTTGGGGGACCCTGCACTCTCTCCATTCCACCAGTGAACTTGTTAAAAAAAAAGAAAGCCATCCAGCATTTCACCATTCCGTCATGAAAGAAGCAAAAAAAAAAAAAAGTTTCACCAGTCAAGATCCCTTCTGAAGAGGACAGACAGCCCAGCAGCCCAGGACAAAATGCCCATATGGAGGGCAGCAACCAGCAATCAGAGGGAAGGGGAAGAGTGCCCAGGAACCAACTGGAGTAGTAGTGTTTGCCCAAAATGAGATGAATAACCAAAGGCAAACCAGACAGCACTGCTTGAGCCAGCACAACTCATAAAACACTACTTTTATTTTCAAGTAATTTTATTAAAGATTATAATTACAATAGTAAAAATTAATACAAACTAAAAGTAAAATTGGAACAGTAAAATACCTGGTGCTTTAAAATAAAGACTGTAACCTGTTTGTTCTCCTTTCTCACTCAAAGCATACACATAGGTTATCATTCTTTGGGAGCCATAGGAAAAACTTCTGCATGTGTTCCGAGCTATTTTCTTTCTTATTCTAGGTTCTATCTGGCACGTTTTGTGTTTGAATTCATCATCAGTATTGGCTGATGTTTATTGGAATTCTGTGATTGATTCTGAAGGCACCCAAGAGAGCTACTATACTATAGAATAGAAGGGGGGGAGCTGGCATCCCCCTGTATTATTTTCCACTAGCTCAGGGTGTACAACATGGAATAGAGGAAAATATTGGGGACTAGGCTAAAACAAAAAGCATTTTCAGAGAGTCATTTAAGCATTTCTCTCTCTTTCAGTTTCCCCCTCTCCTGTGTGGTCTTAATTATATATATTTAAAAATAGTGGAATCCTTTACACAAAAATAATTCATAACACATTTCTCCAGCAAGCAATTTGCAGTGAAGAAACCCATCAGAAAATGTGTGTTTGATCTCCGTTTCTGCCTTTCCTTGAAGACATACAGACTCTTTCTATCATTCCTAACCTCCCCCGATCTAAGGCTATTCTAGGAAGTGGTGATAGCCTGCTTTTACATTTTGTGGTTTGAACTTAAATCTCCTCCCTTTAACTAGGGGCAGAAAAAAATGCATTTCAAATTTTTCAAATGCATTTTTCTTTTTAAAATGTGAGAACTCTCTCTCTTTCTCTGTCACACACACACACGTATATCTCTGTATCTCTATCTCTCTATTTCTCTTACAACCGAGATCTGCACTCAGAGGCTCCTTCTACCGGGTAGTCACTGGCTTCGCCACTCCAAGTTGTAAGCAAAGTTTTCATGCCTTAAGCAAATGTTCTCGCCCTTCCCATGGTCAGTGCTCCCTCTCGCTGACTAAAGGGAAATATTCTCTGCTCTTCCCTTCTAGGGTGTCTTTTCGTGGCAACGAAAATCAGTTTCACTGATGCAACTGAAAGAAGGAAATCCAGGATTAGAGAGGGCAGAAGCTCCCACCAATGGGAATCCGTGTGCCCCACCACTCCAGAGAAACCCTGCAGAACTGCCCCTGCAATATTACCCTGGAGCTGGTCAACAACTGCTCCAACTCCAGAAGTTGGGGGAACACAAGAAGTGGCCCCAGCTCAGATCGCTCCGTCTCCATGTACGGAAGCCCCAGAGTGATCAACCCTCCACCACCTCTTCTTTTCAAGCTGCACTTCCTTACCTGCAGGAACTTCAGAGCAGATACTTTCAGAAATATGGTATAAGGCTCCCAGCATTTAAAATGTACAAAGGAGAAAGCAATCCTTTTGCCCACAAAGGGATGCAATGATTTTAAAAAGTTCTCCCTGAAGATCCTTACCACTAAGATAGTGGTCAAAGAGAGGTGGTATTTGCCCAAGTGCAGCAAAACCATGGCAGCCTTGCGATACATACATGTCATTCATGGTTGGAATAACATAGAAGTGGCTGCCTGAGCACCTAAGTGTCCTGAATATAAGCTGCCCCTGCAATTCCCTTTTCTGCAATTCCACTCTGATATTTTGCCCTGCCTTCCTGGGTCTCCATCAGTCCACTTCTTCTGTACTCCCCTCCTCATCTTTCCTGACTCTCTCAGAAAAGACTCCATCTCCACCTCTCCTTGAAATAGCGGCATCTAGTTCCTTAGATCCTTCTACAAGGGCAGGGCTTGCCAGATCAAATCTGTCTCCTGGATGATCCACTCCTTCAGAATAGGAAGTGTTAATTCCAGAAACAAAAGCAGATCTCACATCAACATTTTCAGACACCTATGCATACTTTAAAATCTTTTGCCTCCCACTGAGAACATTCCACAAAATCTTTTGTTGACAGTGACATTCTCTGATATACCTGAGTTCTCAGGCTGCAGTACTCACTAGAAAAAGTGTGGAAAAAATCGTATCAGATTAACAACCAGGAACAAACCTTCTATTGATGCCTTTGAACTGTGGTGCTGGAGAAGACTCTTAAGAGTCCCCTGGACTGCTAGGAGGTCAAACCAGTCAATCTTAAA